CGTCCGCCCCTCGCTGCCGCGGCAGGCGGTGCTGGACTGCACAGGGACCTTCTCCTGCTCCGAGGCCTCGCTCATGGTGCTGGTCACCTGCCAACCCGCCGAGCCCCCGGTGAGTGTCTGTGCCCCCTCCAGCGCCCGCCCTGGCCCCCGGCTCCTGCTCAGCAGGGTCCCGGCACGTGTGCCCGGGGCTGGGCAGGGAGGGCTGGTGCCGAAGGGACCCCTGGGTGGGCAGAGGTGGGTCCTGCCCTGGAGACCCTCATGGGTGCCTCTCTCTCTCGCAGCCCGACCGCGTCCGCAGGGGTCTATTCAAGAAGCTGAGGAGGAAAATCAAGAAGGGCTTTAAGAAAATCTTCAAGCGCCTGCCTCCCGTCGGTGTCGGTGTCTCCATCCCACTCGCAGGAAGGCGGTGAGGAGCCCGGGACGGCTCCATCTGCACCTCCGGGACCCCCGGACCAGGCGCTCGGTGCCCTGGGAACGGGGCCTGGTGAACCCAGCCCTGGCCCTGAAGAGCCGTGACGGGGCTGGGGTGGGCAGGGAGGGGTGGCGGGTTCGGGGCTGCACGCTCCCGTTCCTCTTGTCGCAATAAATGGTGAATGCAATAACTCGGCGGTGTGCACTCGCTGCGCGGCCTGTACTTTTTCCTTGGGGAAGGGTGGAGGAGGGCAGAGACCCACCCTGCTGCGGGCACCATGACCCCAATTGCGGCTCCATCCTGTTAAGTGGCCCCTGAACAGCCCACGGCTCCACGCATCACCCCCATTCGGGCCAAAGGAGCGGCCCTGGTGCAGCCCTGCCGTCTGCCGTGTTGGTTTAACTTCTTTCCTGCCATCTCGTCTCGCTCCATGTCTGCACGGCGGTCCGGCATGAAGCATCGACGCGGTCCCTCCAAAGCCGGGCTCTCCCCGTCGGCACACGGAGCGAATGCTCTGGGCTGTACGTCGGGCTGGACCCAGCACCGATGCAGGGACATCTCCTAAGGGAGCTCCTTCCACTCACACAGCACCCAGCTCCCAAGGGCACGTGGACCCGGGTCCTGCCGGAGACGTCCCCTGGGACCCAGGTTGTTGGTTGTAGCCGGGTCGGTCTACGGACACGGGCAGGTGTGGCTCTTTGGGTAGACGTGATACCTCTTATTAGACCAGCTAATAAAAAAGTCTCCCATTGCCTGAAGAAGGGTGTTTGTGCCCGAAAGCTTGCCAAGAACTTTTTTCCAACTATGTAGCTGGTTTAATAAAAGATCTCACATTTACCCCAAGAAGCTTGCCTTCCCCGGGACCTTGGACTTTTGCATCGTGCCTTTTTTGAGGGCAGCGATGGATCGCACCCCACGAAGGAGCGGGCTGCTGCCGAGCCCAGCCCCGGGGACCAACACGCTTGCACAGAAGCAGGTTGAGAAGTTTTCACAGGAGGCTTCAGGCCAACGGGGAAGGAAATGGGTTTGGAGGCAGACGGGGGTTAAATCTCAGCGGCAATTCAAGCCAGCTCATCTCGGGGTTAATAACTCACAGGAGGCAAACCTGAGAGTCTGTGGGCAGAGGCAATTTAGATAATGAGGGTCAGGAGGGCTGGGAATTCAGGTGGGACCGGGGGACTTGCAAAGCACCGCTGTTTTGCCTCGGGAAGGTTCAAGGAAGTGCAAAGAATAAATAGGATGAACAAAAAAAGCCGCAGCCAGGATTGGGATGTCTTTCCTGAGCACAAGGAGGTGTACGAAGGCTTGCAGGGTAAATGCTAAATCCACAGACCCAGCTGTGTCGTGTCGCCTGCCCCGTAATGCTTCTGTGGCCTGAAGGGCCAGTTAAAAAAGAATTGCACCTCATGGAAGAGGCATACATGATAGGACCGGATGACCTCCAGAGAGCCCTTCCAGGCCTCCTTTTCTAGGAGCCGATAGCCAAGGGGCAAGAAGAAGGGCAGGTGGGGAAGCTCGCCCCTTTACTTACCCCTTACAGGAGGGGAAAGGTGCCAGGAAATGCAGCGTAGACCTGTGCACAGCTGGAGCTTCCAGCGGGGGCTCTGAGCTGCACATCTGCAGTGGTGTCGCCAGCTGCGTTCAGTTTAAAGGAAGGGTCAGGAGCATTTATGGTGAGGAAACCCCCCAGAGGGGCACTGAGCTGTATTAAACACCCCGGGAAGATAAAAGTAGATCAGCTGTGATGTGTCACGGGGATAAAACAGGCATTTGAATGGCTGCGTGGGGCTGAGCATCGGATAGGACGCGTTCTGCGGCGGGAAAGGCCAGCATGGCCAGGAGCATGGACAGGGATGCCATTCAATTAGAGGAAATGCAAAGCGGCTGGGACGGCGACACGTCTTCGGCAGTCCCTCGCAGCGGAGGGCGATCACCTTCCATGCATGTCTTATTTGAGGGTCCGAAGATGGCTGACGACCGGGATCGACAGACCCGGGGGGCACTCGGGCACGTGTTTCCATGGGGGTGGGTGGCTTCTGATTCTTGATTCAGTCCCAGACACGCTGCTTTTCCCGCTGCTCTTGCTGTCACGAGGTTTCAAAGTACCGAGACCCCTGCAACAGACTCTTCCTCCATGCGGGGCGGTCCCGGGCCATCGTCTCCCACAAGCTGATGTTGGCCTTGAGCGTGTCCTCGAAGTGCTTTCTCTGCCCTCCTCTTGAGCATGTGCCTTGGGAGAGAGAAGTGCGCTTCCAGAGTCTGAAGTCAATCACCTGGATGACGTGAGCTTGTTTTATCCAGGAACGCCCCAAGGGCTGACAATGAGACAATGTTTGGGATGTTCATTGAGAAAAGACCGAAAACCTGGTACCTTGAACATCGTCGCAGGACCCGAAATGGCCCCAGCCAGCTGGCAAAGGGTCCCGGGAGAGGTTGCTAGTCCTGTTAGTCTGAGGTCGGTCAGAAGGCAGAGGAGAGATGCGCCTATATACAGACTGACTAACTAAGATACAGAGAGAGAGCACAGGCTTTCGTGGGCAGAAGCTGGGGAACATTTCTCACCATGGTAGATCGACCCCAGGAATCATAGAATCATAGAAGTCGGGTCGGAAGGGACCTTGTCGATCTTCAGGTCCGACCCCCTGCCTGGGCAGGAGGGAAACTGGGCTCAAATGACCCCAGTCAGGTAGGCATCG